CCCAGCAGCTAGCTACACTGTCCCTAGCCCTGCCCACGAAGAGCCCCACAGAACCTGACCTTCCAGGCCCATTCTACTCCCAGCCTAGGCTTCCCTCAAGCCTCACTGGCCTTGCCCCATGTGCTTGGGGCCAGTGGTTACTCTTAAGGTACTGCTTCCTATACTGTCTTAGGGAGACCAGCCCTCCTGCCCTCCATCCTATGGGAGGGGTATAGAAAATCAGCCTGTATCCCTGCTCAGTTACAACTTGTCCATCATCCCTAGCCTGCATGTGCCTTTATGGCCACATTCTCTTCATGGATAGAGGCCCCTCCTCCTCTGGAAAGTCTTTCCAGATATCCACTCCCTAGGAGTGGTTTTTCGAGACAGGGTTTCTCTATGTAGCTTTGGAGCCTATCCTGGAACTCCTCGGTAGACCAGGCTGGCCTAGAACTCACAGAAATCCGCCTGGTTCTGTCTCCCGAGTGCTGGGATTAAAGGCGTGCGCCACCACCGCTTGGCTTCCTGAGAACCTTTATGTAAGCCCCTTGTTATCCAGCACAGGTCAGCATGATGGTCACAGTGTAAAGACCCCTCCACCAATAAAGTCTTGTTGCCCAATGCTAGACAACCCATTCCATCAGCAGATAAAGAGATGTGTGGAAGTGGGACCAGCCAGGCTTGGGTTCAATCCTCTGCAACCTCTAACCTGAGTTAACGCCACCAGGACCAAGCCCCTTCCTCCCCAGCCCAGGGTTCTGTTTCCATCTCAGCTCCACGTTCTGAGACTGCACAAAGCCTGGAGCCCCACGCTGGCTCAGCACTGGGAATCCAAATTTTCTTGTTCCTGGGACCAGCACAGGAACACAACCCCTTCTACCCTGGGTCCTGGCGAAGGGTAGCATCCCAGCCACCTGCCTGTGCCCCTAGAACTACCCAGAGTCCCTTCCCAGGGTACATAGCCTCCAAAAAGGGCTTAACTTTCCTGCCCTCAGTTTTACCCTTAATAGCAAGCCACAGGAGTAGTTGGGGAGGCTCTCAGAGGTCTCTGACTATCAGATAGACTATCTCTGACTCCCAGGCTTGGTTCTAGGGCCTCATATTCCCTCCAATACCCACACCATTTCTTGGTGCCCACAGTACCTCCAGGGCTCCAATCTGCAGCAACCAAGGCAGCTGGCTGTGGTGTGCTCTCAGAGCCTCCAGCTTGCCTGCTCTGGGTGGAGGAACCTGTTTTCCAGGTTTGTGGCGCCTGCAGAGGGGCCTCCTGCTTGGGGCAGGCCCCACCCTAACAGTCATGTCCTTGTACACGAACTGCTCCTGGGAGGGTTGTTAACCAGTCCCTCTGCCCCTCTACAGTTAAAGACAGTGTGCAATGGAAAATTTAAGGAGCCCCAGGACTCACCCCTGCTCCAAGCCCCAGGTTCTAGGGCAGGCCTCCTAGAACCCATCAGACTAAGGCAGCCTTCCCCTCACCATTCCCGCAGAGACAGCATTGGTTCCCAGGAGGCCAGCTGACCAGTGAGGACAGGGGCTCTAGAAGTCCAGTGCAGGATCACCTGGGAACATTCCTGCCTCAAAGCAGGGAATCCAACAGTGTGGACCCAACAGTGCAACCCCAGGGCTAGATCAGGCCGAGAAAAGTACGTGCTGCACTTTCCTTCTTTCCTGCTTCACCACTGTCCTCCTGAGTGGCGGCTGTGTGGAGCCCCATCCCAGCCTTGATGTATACAGCAACCACCAAAACAGTAAACCCCTCCTGGGGCAGAGGTAAGGTTTACAAGGACTCACACAGACTCAGGCAAAGGAGAGCTTGTGTGTGCTGACTCACCATCTCATTCACCAGTCTGCTAGGTGGTGTTGGAAGGAATAAATAACCTGGGGTAGAGGGGACACCTGCTGAGCATCCCTCCCAGTCCCCTGGCCTCCCCACATCTACAGAACTATGGTAGAAATGATCAGATAAGGCTGGGTATAGAACTAAGTGGATAAAGTGCTTGTTGTCCCAGTATGAGGACCACAGTTCAGATGCCAGAGCTCACCTGATGGGTGAGGTGGCCCACCTGTAATTTCAGCCATGTAAGGCAGACACTGGGATCCCCAGGGCAACCTAGCTAACAAGACTAGCCATATGGGCAAGTTCTGGGTTTGACCAAAAGACCCTGTTCCAATGAATAAAGTGGAAGCACAATCCAGGAAGAGGCCAGATGCCATCCTTGCACTACCACCACCACCACCACACACACACTCACACACACACA